TGCTTCTTTAATTTCTTCCTCTGAGAAGTGTGTGTTCATCTCGGATGCCCATTTCTGGATTGGGTCTTTAAATTTTGGGGCCCTAGTGTTTTTTAGTGCTAAGATTTTTAAATAGTAAATAATACAGAAGATTCAAGGGGTGAAGCCATGTTGGTATGCTGGGCTGTAAAGGGCTCAAGTCAACAACTTCTGACACTGCCAGTCCTGTGGATGACCCACTACTATTATGGACTACTGGATTATATTGGAATATTTTGCTGAATTCATGTACCTACAATATTTAAATGACAATGGAATACCCTTCTCTGACAAAACTAAACAAAAAAAGTGGATACAAATGAATGACTGTTTGTAAATAGGATATCATGTCCGCATCTTGTACAGCAATTAACCACTATGAAGAATGTATGCAATGTGTGAATTATTGAAACTTTCCTACCAATTTGATTTGAAACTGTCTTATTGCTATTTGTTTATCAATAAAATTATGGGAAAAAACCCAAAACAAATGAATGACCATTTTGTATCTGTTCAAAATAGGATAGATATACAGCTATATTCTCTTAATTCAATGAATAAGAAGATTGTTCTACTAGTGTTTGTGGATGGGATGTCATGTCTGCATCTTGTACAATGAATAACCACTGAGACAACAATGTGCAATGTATTTATTATTGAAACTGTCCTACTGATTGGTTTTGAAACGGTCTCATTGCTATTTGTTTCTCAATAAAATTATTTTTAAAAAAGTAGGTTAAACTGTTGGGTCATCCAATAAGTTAGTCCAGTACCAAACTTTATTAGTCAACATTCAGCCATTTCCTTTGTTTTAGACATTCATTCTCTTTTCTATTACTGCCTTATGTTTATACTGATAGTAGCGTGTGTGGCATGGATACCATAGAATACAAATAAGGGGCTAAAAAGAATTGAATGAAAAAAATCTAGAATCCATATCAATAAACATCACAGTAACACTGAAAGTAATAAAAGTATATACTCCATTAAGTCACTACTGTCACAAATGACCAATATTTTTATTTCTGCATATTCAGATGGAAAGAAGGTACCTTAATTTACAGCAGCCAAACTTAAAATATAAGCCTTTAAAATTCCATATAAAATCATTATATATGTTAAGCTGAAAAATAGTACTCAAACTCATGTAACATACTATGTGCTATTTAGAATGGCAAGGATTACTGAAAAGTACAGTATCAATACCTCAAGAGAATGAAAATTCTAGGCTAAAACAAGACTATTTTTATCATGAAGTTTGAAATATACAAAAAAACAAAACACAGAATACCTGATATGGTAAATGGTAGAGAATTTGATGCTTTATATAAATTTTTGGTGAGTGGAAAATAATATAATTTTCATAAAATAAATTTATTTTTGATGGCTTAAAAAAAGACTGTGAACACAGACAGAGAGATGCTCAGTGTTCATCACCTTGCACAGAAGAACCAAAATAACAGATATATACCCGTATTCTGAAGTGAGTGCCCTTGGGACAGCAGTGGAAATCTCTGTGTGTGTGTGTGTGTGTGTGTGTGTGTGTGTGTGTGTGTAAGCGAAAGAGAGAGAGAGAGAGACATACAGACAGACAGAGAGACAGAGACAGAGATAGACAGAGATAATGAATGAATAAGAATGAATAGAATCGAGACCCAGTCCTAGCCCAGGTCGGGTGAGTGTGTGGGAGAGCTTCCTGCTACCCTGCGCCGGCGGGACCAGTCCCAGCCCAGGCGCAGCGTGGGCTGGACCCTCTCCCACCCCCTTGGGCCGCCCCCCACCACTCCGTGGTACCTCCCCCACCCCACCTGCTGAGTAGGAATTTCTGCTGCATTCCGTGAACCCCCAGACCCAGTCCTAGCCCAGGTCCTGTGAGTGTGTGGGAGAGCTTCCTCTTCCCCCTACTTCACCTTGCCCCCTCCAGGCACAGCTCAGGCCGGGCATACATGCCTGGGGTGTAACCCTGCAGCTGCAATCCCTGCAGAGAGTGTAGAGGATAGATCCACTCAGCTAGTCCAGGAGCAGAACATCTTGCCACAGGGGCACAACAGGTTCACCCTCAAGGGCAGCAATGGGAAGGAGCTGAGCACAGCAGCCAGACCCAAGCCAGACGCAGCT